GTGGGGTTGGATGCCGTGACTGTGTCCTTGTATGTGCATTAATGTGGTGGGTGGGTGGGTGTGGTGTGTTGTGTAAATTTATCACAGTACCTTAATGAATGTATAATTTTTTTTATTTTTTTTTCTAGCCATTAGATTATCATATCTAATGGCTACGTTTCATTCTTATTTCTTTCACAGAGCTCCATTCTCACTTGAATTCACCCATACTTTAATATTCATCACATCATTTATTAATAAAAAAAGAACACAAGCATGCTAACGTACCAAAATTTTAATATTGCAGTTTATATATCAATACGTTGTACTTTATGCATCAGGTTGCACTGCACTTTATAAGACAACACGTTGCACCTTACAAAACAATATGCAACACGTACTATAATTAATTATAGTAATTTTACTAACCGGTCGAATAATATTAGTTGGTTAAATATTGGATTTAGTTTTTTAAATAAATAAAAAAAAAATTGAACATGACGAACTATATAACAAATATTACCGATTTTAGCGTACCAAATATATAACTTTATAAATCAACACGTTGCACTTTTTAAAACAACACGATGCACTTTACCGCGACCATCATATTGCACAATATATGTCGAAATCAACCGAACTCAAAATTTTCCAACCAAAATAATATAAAAAATAACAAATAAAATTATTTATTATAAAAATTACTTTGATGTGTCCTGTTCAAGTAAAATTGTTATAAAAATAATATCATTATCTTTTATGCACACAATAAGTACAAAATATTAAATATCAACTATATTTTCATTAATTACACATTTACTCCATCATGAATTGTAATATATTAAAAAAATTATATAATTGCAATCAAGCCCCATGTCTACTCGAATTCTCCAATCCGATGCCCTAAATATAACCAATATTTTCGGCGACCTCTGTGCGTCGGTGTCGCCGTCGCCGTCGTCGACGTGATGACCTATGTGAGCCCTGATTTCACGCACAAGGCACGTCAAATGTTGAATCACATAAAAAGGCCCTGATTCAGAAGCCATTTCGGCAAAAAATCAGTGGTGACGGCGAGGTATAGGCGACGCGAATGAGGAGATGGACGTCACGGTTGATTTAGTGGACGACGGGGCCGTGGATGAGCACGGAGGAGAGTGAGCGATTGGTGGATGCCAACGACGGGTTGGTGGACGTCCTACGGCGAGGTTGAAATACGATTGACACTAGGGTTAGGGGAGGACGACGACGGATGATGATTTGACGGCGGGCGACGACTGGCAGCCAGATGGAGAAGGTAATTGTGATTTCTTGTCTGGCGTCGTGTGTGTTGTCGGTGAGTGTGGGTATGAGAGATAATGGGTAGTTTTGTTAGAGCATCTCCAATAATATATGAGAAAATTACACTCTTTGCTACTACATCCTAACTTATTTTTAAATTTACGAGAGACAATATTTTTTTTTTCAGGTTTACGTTAATAACATTAATTATGGCTCGACTCTTACCAAAAATATTATTTAATTATGTTTCTTAAAAAGATGATAAATCATGTGTGAGTCGCCGTCCCCCTCAGCATATTTTTTGGAGGTCGTGCAAATCTTTTTCTTCCCTTTCTCACGCAAATCTCTACGTCATCTTCTCCAAACCTCCAAGATTCACCATTGTCACTGCAAATTATCTCTAAAAAAATCATAATTCTCGCTAACACTCTTCCTACAATTATCTTACCAAATTTCTCTGTTACATTTATCATCTTCATACACCAAGCAGAAAACCCTATTTATTTATTGCACGAGGCTCGTCGATGACGAATAAAAGGCCATTATTGGTAAAAGTTTGAATCTGATGGGGGTCGTGGCTTGAAGGCTCTACTAAAGGCAAGGGTAATCGTCGGTAATCGCTGGGCTCGGCTCGCGGTTGATGGCGAGTTTCTTATCAGCGATGAAGGACGACACTGGCGTCGGAAGTTCCTGTGTTGTGCGCGCGGTAATCGCTGGGCTCGGCTCGCGGTTGACCGTAACATCGGGGGAAAGACTAGGACACAAAAGCGTCATCATATTCATCTGTCAGATTTGTTTACCTAATGTATACATTTACTTTAACTATACTCTCTGTTTATTTGCATCGTTGTTTGAATCTTAATATTTGTGTGTCTACATATTTGTGTTTCTAATGTATATGTTATGTATAACTATACTCTTTATAAGATTCAATTACGTCAATGTTTGAATTTGTCATATTGTTTATCTATTGTATATATATAGTATATCTAATCATGACAGTGTTTTTTTCAAAGCTAGATCGATTTGTCATATTGTTTATCTATTGTATATATAGAGTATATCTAATCATGACTGTGTTTTTTTCAATGCCAGATCGATGATTTTTTTTTTCAACTGCAAGATGCCGATGTACTGTAAATTCGTTCGAATTTTTGAGTTTGTCCAGCCCAAATTTGTAGCTATTATGTTTGCTGTGATTTTTTTTTTTTTTTTTTAATTTCGATTTTGATTGCATCAATGGCATGATTTTTATTTTGGAGAGAGAACGGATTTATTGGAAAGAGAAGAATGAGCATATTAATAACATGATTTTATTTTGGAAAGAGAAACAGATTTGTTCAAAAGAGCACATATCGTAATTGTGAAAATAAAATCTCCATCAAATCCCCTCTTGATAAATACTTTAACTGATCGTAAATGTGAAAATAACTCCTACATGGAGTCTAAGTATGTAAATTTCCCATAATATATGGATTGCTCTCTTTCTATTGCCACATAGCCTCCAAAATCTAATGTGGCATTCAATAAATCTAGAAGTCTTTCTATATGTAAAAAGACTTCTAGACATCTTTCATTTTATATTATATTATTTATTTTATATTTGTGTTTCTACCAACCAATTATTATATTACACGTGTCAAACTATCTCACAATTGATATTAACCATTGGAGACAAAATATTTTCTTTTCCTTTCTCAACATCATACATCTCAAAATACACATTGAACCATTGGAGATGCTCTTAGTGGTGGGACCCACCAAGTGGGTGTGTGACAAAATTACAGAATTGCCCTTACTAGTATATATTTGATCACAATATTCTATTTAGTTACATTTTTGCCACCGTGATCTTAACCTTATTCAATTTTGACTGCATATTGACCACTGATATTATGTATCTAAGGGTGTAAGATCATTCTTATTTATTTCACTATTTCTCTTTCTTATATGATCCTTTATATATATATATATATATATATATTAACTTTGGTGGCATTAGTAAACAAATTTGAATATGTGGTGGCATTAGTAAACAAATTTGAATATTGACTTGCCCCCCCACTCCCAAAAACAATTTCTATCATAATTTTCGTAGAAATCTTGTGTGTTGAAAAATAGAGAGAAGCACTGCAAAATTCATACGCCCATTCGTTTTTTTTTTAAAGTAAATAATACAATGATTTGACTAAAACTATTTGGATATAAAAAGTTTTGATTTTGATTGAATTTTTTTGGTTTGAGTTGGTTGAATTTGAAAAAATTGATATGGTTAGTTATTAGTGAGTATACTAAAATATATTTAAAATAAAATGATTATATTAATTTGATGTAAAAATATGAGAGAGAATATGTGCTGTGATGGTTAGTTAAAATTATGTGAGTTGATGAATAGTGAATTAAAATTGATGTGGTGAGTAAGGATGATTGGTTGATATTATTTAATTATATTGATAATGCTGATGATAGTGAGATTGAATTAAAGTTGAATTAAAAAAAAAAAAAAAAAAACAGTTGAGTTAAAAGTGATTGAATTTTTTTGAATGAATTCGTATCCAAGCATCCTCATAGCTTCTTAAACTTTTTTTTTTTTTTCACCCTTGAAGTTTGCAGTCTTTTCTCACAAATAACAATTTAGATGTGCGAAGGCTATTATTAAGTGTTAGTCATATTTTTCTAATAGATGTATATGCATATTATAAAATTGAAATGTTGTGCTCTCAAAATAACATACACAAAAGTATAATATTTCATAACATAAATATACATTTTTTTTTTTAATAATTACACCGTCTCATAGAATAATATACAATTGAAATGTATTTGTAATCTTGAACATAGTGGACATATTTTCTATAGAAATCATGGATTTGCTATAATAAACAATATCACCATATCATGATTCTTTTATCAACATGGGAATCTTTCCTATAAAAAACAGACAAAATTCATCAAATTATAACAAACTTTTGGCCAACATCTCTCTCTCTCTCTCTCTCTCTCTCTCTCTCTCTCTCTCTCTCTCTCTCTCTCTCTCTCTCTCTCTCTCTCAAACATGGCAATTTGGCTAATCTTAGTGTTTATTATGTCTGGTTCATTTTGTCCTAAATCATTCTCAACACATGCTGCCAACACAAAAAAGACCAAACAAGTTGGCTTCCCTTTTTCATTCATTCAGCCAGAGCAAGCACAACTCTCTCTTAATTCAAAAGCTGCGTTTAGGCCATATAAAGAGAAGTTCTACACACAAACTCTTGATCACTTTAACTTCAACCCAAATAGCTACCAAACGTTCCAGCAAAGGTACTTAATCAACCAAACTTTCTGGGGTGGCCGCAAAGGAAATTTCCCAATATTCGTCTACATGGGAAACGAGGGAGGAATCGAATGGTTTGCACAAAATACGGGCTTCATGTTCGAAATTGCGCCCATTTTCAAAGCTATGTTAGTTTTCATCGAGGTAATTTCTTATTTTTTTTTTTTTTTTTTTNNNNTTTTTTTTTTTTTTTTTCACCTTTTTAGTATTTATGTGGACGAAATGTTAATAGTTATACGTACAAACCGTGTTGCAGCATAGGTTTTACGGGAAGTCAATACCTTACGGAGGGAGTGAAAAGATAGCGTATTCGAATTCCACGACACTCGGTTACTTGAGCTCGACACAAGCGCTTGCGGATTACGCGACTTTGATTCTCGATCTTAAGAAGAATCTTACGGCCGAAAAATGTCCTGTTGTAGTCTTTGGAGGTTCTTATGGCGGAAGTACGTAGAAAATATTTTATGTTATGAATAATTTAGCATTTTTGAAAAGCTGAAATCGCGCTTCAACCCGATTGTACCCTTTTTTGTGCAGTGTTGGCTGCATGGTTCAGATTGAAGTATTCTCATGTGGCTATAGGGGCTTTAGCATCCTCAGCTCCTATTCTAAATTTCGACAACATTACTTCGCCGTATAGTTTCAACGATGTCATCACCAAAGATTTTCGGGTCGGTCCTTTTTCCTTTTATTTATTTATTCACTATAGTTCCTTCTTATTCTTTTACAAGAAAGTTATGATCTTGGCCTTCATGAGATTTGATTTAAGTTTTCCAAACAAATAATAGCCACTTTTTTCTTCTGTAAAGTGAGATCATGACTCTGTTTCTGTCCAAATTTTGCAGTTAGAATATTGTTGGGTGACTTAAATTATGTGTTATCTGTGATTTAATTGTGATGCATCTTAAGATATTATATGAGCCTTGTCCTAACATGGAAATTGTTTCATGTTCTTGTAGTAAAAAATTAATGTACTTAATGTGTGATTAATTAATCTAATAATAAGATGACTAGCTTGCTATTGGTCCAGAGGGCAGAGAGTAGAATAAAAACAGCATATTTATGCATATATTTCCTCAATAATTGTTCTGAAAAATGACTGAAGACTTTGAAAATGAAATCAAATAACTATCTTGATGATCTTTTTTCTTATAGTCAAGAGTCGATGAATAGATTGATGGATTGATAAATATACTAACTTTTTGTTCTAATTTTTGTCTTACCTCATAACTTAGAGTGAGAGTCTGAATTGTTACCAAGTGATCAAAAGATCGTGGCAAGAAATCAAAGAAACCGCAGAGAAACCAAAAGGACTAGAAATTCTCAGGAAGTCATTCAGAATATGCAAGTAAGAAAAAAAAAAGAAGAAAAACTACTATATGTCTTCTAAATGCTGTCAGGATATTGTTGTTGAAAGAAAGATCAAAAGTTAATAGTGGATTGGCGTATATAATAATATTCTTGTTTATTTAATTTTATTTTTTTTAGTGTATTAAGCTAATTAATCTTTTTACTGGTTTCATAGGAATTATATAAGTGAAGCATCTCTAGAAAATTGGCTATATACAGCTTACACTTATACAGCCATGACAGATTATCCAACTTCTAGCAATTTCCTCAATCCCCTGCCAGCATATCCAGTCAAGCAGGTACACACAAACTCTCTGAAATCCAGATTTGTGATTGTAAAATATTTCGACAAGTTTTGTTTAATCGAATCATAAGATGGATACATCATATGAACGATAATAGTTCAATAACCGAAACAACACAAAACAGAAATTTTCTATTTAAGTTTTTGGTATGATATAGTTTTATACAAACTCGATTTCGGTTTCATTATATAGTTAGGTTTAGCGACCACAGTCAACATTATTTAGTTCGGTTTAGCAGTGATTGTATTGGTGTGAAAATTAGGAGCTCAGTTATTATGGAAATGCAGATGTGCAAGGCAATCGATGATGTAAAGACCGGGAACAGCACATTCGAGAAAATATATCGTGCAGCTAGCGTCTACTACAACTACACTGGTCAAGCCAAGTGTTTTAACCTCAACAGCAATTCAGGTCAACTCGGGGTCAATGGATGGTCATGGCAGGTATGACATTTTGAACTTTCTACCCAAAAGTATAAGTTCTAAGCCATCGATTAAAACCCATAAGCTATCGACTATACGTTCGAAACTATCTTATGAGCTATCAGTTTAACTCATCAGATATCATATCGCCTTTTTCAGCTAGATTTATCCAAGAATACCAAGAATAAATTAGCTGCACTATAAATTGATACAAACTGTAGCCCAATGAAAAGTTGTGGGCTTGTGGCTTATTTTTCAGGCCTGTACAGAGATGATTTTACTAACAGAAGGCTACTCAGAGGACAGCATTTTCCCAGCCTATAATTACACCTACAATGATCAGTTAGAAGACTGCAACTATAGCTTCAATATAGTGCCCAGGCCCACCTGGATTCCCACCGAGTTTGGAGCCCATGTCAGTTTCTTGGCCCAACTTAAAATACCCCCTTTATCATCATTTCTTGGCTCCGTTAATAATATAATATGTTCCGTATTTGCAGAATATATATAGAGTACTAAAGCGTTTTGGAAGCAACATAATGTTCTTTAATGGGCTGAGGGACCCATGGAGTCCTGGAGGGTACCTTTTTTGCTTTCATCTTAATTAATAATTAATTGTTTTATGTTTAGCCATAAGCATTTTAGATAATGATTTTTCACATAATAATCATTTTATTTCCTTTCTCAAAAAATAAAAAATAAAATTATGCATTAAATGTGACTTGATTTTTCTTATTTAATGGCAGGGTGCTAAAAAATATATCAGAAAGTATAGTTGCAATTGTGGCGAAAGATGGTAAGTTACTTTCACATCTTTGTATTTAAATTGATTTTATGGTTAATAATAGGACTAGTGTACAACATCCGACGTTTTAAATAACTAAATTTGCAAAAATATACATAAGTGAAAGTATTTAGTTGACATCTTAAATATATCATTCGTAAAAATTTATATTATTATTTATACTTAAAATGACACTCATCAATTAATATTATTGTAATATTTTTTTCAAAGTCATAATATATAATGATTTAATAGATGAAGTTATTCAATTGATATATATTTATATATATATATTATTTTAAAATATATATATATTTTATTTTCAGTTATAAAATATATATATATATATTTTATTTTCAATATGTATACTTTAATTTATTATAAAGGTAAATATATATTTATTTATATATGCAATATGAACGTCCAATTGAAGCTCGTGAAGAGGTGACTGGTTTGATATATTATATATGAAAATATCATTTATATGCAAAAGTTATTAACTTTTAAAATATATTTATAATTTAAGTTCATCACATGCTTCATAATTGTGAAGTCCTAATAGGCACACATACATGTCTAAAATCTATATGAACTACTATAAAATAACTCACTAGATTATAATAAATAGAATTCGACACATAGGGTTATGAACCAAAAGTTAATACATACGCTCGAACTCTGCATTTATATATAGGAGGAATGTTAAGAGAGATTTTTTTGATATCACATACTTTTATGTGAGGCAGTTTAAACGTTAGACGATTTGACATGTACTATTTTTTATCATTTATCCATACTCATTTAATATCTAGTTTTATAAAATCACAACTTTTACATGCAATATATTTCCTAAGAAAAGTAGATTTTAAAGAACCACTATAAACAAGTGGCTACTAAATATAATTTTTCTTTATGTAACCTGCTAAATTTTATTTATTTATTTTTTATTTACTACTTTGAAAGCATATATAATGATTTTTTCAAAATTATAGGTGCACATCACGTGGATCTTAGATTCTCAACAAGGGAAGATCCAAAGTGGCTTCGAGATGTGAGAAAACAAGAAGTGCAAATCATATCACAATGGCTCACTCAATATTCTCATGATTTGAATGATTCTCCCAGCTCGTAATAGAGTTTTCGGAATTCCATTTGAGAAAGTTTCAATGTAATATGACAATATATTATGATAAAGGTATATCTGAAGAAACAAAAACTATTGAAACCTAATGAAATTTCAATTTCATTTCGTTTATGATTATTGTTTCATGATTTTGGGAGCCAAAGAAATCAAACAGATCATAAAGTTTTACCGAAAAAAGTTAATTGAGATCACATAATTGTATATGTGAACTTCTAGATGAAACTAGATAAATTAATCACAATTATGATCATAGATATTATTTTATTATATATAATCAAAATGTTTACCAAAAACTAGTTGAGAAACAATGTTATTATAAAATGTTCAATTTGGATGGAAACGTCTCAGTTACTTTATAAAATACTGAATTTAATATAAGAAAAATGCCGTATTTTTTTGGGTGATGACACTACTATATTTTAACTAATGCGCAAGATACCAATATTAAAAATATTTTATTATGATACGGGAAAGAAATATTATAAGTAATTTTATAAAAATAAATATCGTGTTATTATTAAAACTAATTTTATAAAATTAAATATTGAGCAACATGAACATGATTTACTCATTTTTTGAGAAAAGTCACACAATTGAAGATTTTTTTTTTCTTTAAAAAAAAAGTACTTTGGGGGCGTTGATAAATTTCAATTTGGACATAAACGTCAATTGATAGAATTTCAAAATGAGTAGAATTTGTTTTTTCCTAAAGTTTCTACTTCAGAACTTGGTAGTGATCTCAAATACTATTACATTAAATGATAATTAGAAATTATATAGTCAAGTTAAATAAATCAAACTTAATTATTATTTAAATTAAATGATAATTAGAAATTATTATTTTAAGTAAATATATCAAACTATCATGATCCAATTTATATAAAAAAAATACGAGTATGTCTTAAATAGCACTAATTCGTCTACAACTCTAGAAAATTAGTATAATATGATAACTTTTATATATCCTTCCAAACGCTATGAAATAATAAGAATTAAAAAAAATCAATATAGGCTAATTTTTTTAGTATTGTCTATTTCTTTAGAAAAAAATATTTAACATATTTCTATTTATTAATTTGATTTTGACAATCCATAAATTTAAAAAAAAAAAGAAAAAAAATCCATATATTTACACAAATAATATCTTTATAAAAATATGCCAATTTAAGAATATAAAATTTGACGTTAAATTAAGTGAAATTCGGCATTTGCTCCCATTTATAAGGCCTAATAAGTTTTAAAATATATAGTACATTTTTTTTTTTTTTTTGCATTTCATTTATCATGAATAATTAGTAAAACTGTTACATTTTTTGTTAGTTACAGTATTAAATAATTATTATAATTAAAAAGAAAAAAAAATCATTGTAACGGTGATTTGCAATAAAAAATTCAAACCTTAAAACGATAATTTGCAAGAAAAAATTAAAAACTTGCGAAAGAATGGTATATTAGTTATATTTACCTTTCATAATTTATTAAAAGATACACTAACCTATTATTATGAAAGAATGGTAATATATTTTTTTTTCACATTTTTCTAAAGAAATAAAAAATATTCCAAATAGAAATAATTTAAAATAAATTTTCTAATATATATATATATATATATATATATATATATTATATTTTGTAAAGTCCCAACTTAATAAACAAGTTCAAAAGTATCTGAAATGTTATATGCTATTATATGTATTATAGAATGTCAAATGTTGTATATTACTCGTATGTAGCTACAAATAAACAAAAAAAATATAAATATATATGAATATATAAATAACAAATCAAAAAAAAAAAAATCAATTTGAATATTAAGTGCAATAATTATTTTTTATTATACCACAAATTGTATAATGAGTGAACCACATTTTTTTGATTGGTTTCTAATTTTTATTATGGATTTATAGTTTAGTTAACCACTCTATACATGCAAATATTTATATATGATCATGTATTTAAATAGTGGTCAGCTGGCCAAGTTTTAAAATACATTTTTTTACTATATATATTTTTACTTATATAAGCTTATATCACAATTTTCATTGTAAAAATCTTATGCTATGTTTGGTAACCAAATAAGCTGCTTATTTGGTTACTTATAAGTTTCATGTATTCAAACAAGTTTCATTTAGTAGGATGAGTTTTTTTAAAAAAACTCGAGCATATCTCATGAGCTTCTTTAGGTAGTTTTCAAAAAAGCTCGTTGAAATCAGCTAATTTTACTAAACACTCTTATCATATAATATAAGCTACCTATAAGCTCGAAAATCACTTATACGATATAAGCTAGCTTATTAGCTAAGCTAGTTTTACCTTACATAACTTTAGCATTTATCATTATTTAACTCTTAATTAATTTATTTTCTACCATTATTTTATTGTTTTAATGAGAAAGGATAAACACAAACATTTCAACATAATGATGGTTTTGTATGTAAAATATTGAAAATACTACAAATATTTGATTTGGAATATTGATATAAACGGCACATTTCAATTTGTAAGATTTGTTGTGGAAAGCATACAATACAAAAAACTGTTGTCGATCATTTTTAATATTTTTGCTTTTCTTAAAATAGATTTATTGAAACATAAATGTTTCCAAAAAAAATAGGACACATAAATTATTTCAAAACATTGGACAATATTTTTGCCTAAATTTTTTAAAAGTAAAATGCATGATCAGAAGCCATCAAAAGTAGGACGATATTTTGGCATTTAATTTTTGAGAACAAAAATTTACTCAAAATGATAAAAAGCCAATTTTAAATTTCATTCAAAAAATTTCCTCTATGTATGTCTCAACATAAATAAAGACTACAAAGACATTGAACATTGTAATGATATTGATAATAATAATAATAATAACAACAATAATAATAATAATAATAACAAAAATAATAAATATAATAATAACAACACTTAATGAACATTATAATTAAAAAAGTTACACTTCTTAAGTTTAAAATTATTACACTTGTACACATTATATTTCAAATTATTGAATATTATAAAGTTGAAGATATTTAAAAATGTAATAGATGAGGAAAGAAATTTGTGTATATATAAAATATGATTACAATATACTCAAATTTTAAAATAAAATTAAATTTATTCAAAACGAAATTATTGAGTTTTAGATAATATATATATGTGTGTGTGTGTGATAGTTAAAAAAAAATATCATTTTAACAAATCGAGTGTAAAATACAAGTATTGTTTTAAAATTATTAACTGTGTTAATTTTTTAATTATTAGTTGTATGTTTAATTTTGTATCATTCTATTCTATTATAAGAATAAAACTTTTTTATTTGGATACAAAGGCGTTAGTAGAATAAATTAATTATTCGAACAAATAATATTTCGTACAAAATATTTTCTAGAATTTGAAATAATATTACAATTTTTTTTAACTTTTTTATTTATTATGTATAGTTTTTATTTCAAAATAAGATTTCTTTTCACTATTTGTAGCGCAATTATTTTTTTCTCAAACACCCATGTAGCTAATGAGTGTTGTATTAGTTTTATTTTATTGTAGGATTGACGTCTTGCATTATTAGAGCACTCAAGCACGAGCATTCATTCCAAGTACTCCCATTAATTTACTTTTTCAGTTTGGGAGTTTGGGATTTTAATTCATTTTAATCGCTTGATATGATTATTATTATATGTACATGTTACAAGGCCTTCGGGTCAAACAATTAAACAATTATAATGAGAGATATATCTAAAGAGAATTAGAGTGAGATATATTTCATAATTAAAATACATCAATTAAAAATATAGATTTTTTTAGCTAATTCAAACAATAAGAATAACAATCGTTACAGTTATAGGATACAATAAAATTATTTATTATGATGACACAACATTTGCATTTTTTTTTTTTTTTCTAAATGAACTTTCACAAATGTAAAGATGTAGAAAATGTTGCAATTAGAAGATAAGTGTTAAAGTTACTAAATTATGTTAAAAGTTATTAACTTGAGAGAATAAACCCAGCAATATATTTCCTTTTCAGTTTACTAATGGTTATTATTATTATTACTATTATTTTTAAAATTAACATATAACATAGTTAAAATCTTAAACAATTAAATTAGGTGTAATTATTCTCATGTTATATCTATATAATTGGATTTTAAGTTAAATAAAAAAAATGATATTTAAAACCCGTTACAAATGACTTGACAACCGTTGCATAATTAATACAAAACTATATAATTTTTCTAGTCGTAATATATTAAAATAATAATAACATACGACTAACAAATAAATGTATAGTTCATTGAAAAATTTAATGTAAGTCTTAATTGATATATTTTTTTTCCAAAAAGAGTAGTTTACATTTTTATTTAGCTTTTTTTTTTTGGCCAGAACGATAGAACATTTTTATTTAGCTTCAAATCATTGAGTTACCGTTACAAATTAAAACAACTTTCTAGAGTAATTAATTTAAAGTAACCACACTATATAGATAAAAAATGGGTGGAAAAATTAAAAAAA